AATAATTTGTTTTAATTTTTTGTAAGTTTTGTGAAATAACAATAAATATCAGTATCGCAATTCAGTAACTTTTTAACTACAAAATTTAGTCGTTAAATAGTAAAAATTCGTAAGTTAACAATTATTTTCGTTATGTGGTATTCTGAATTATATTTCACCGATTTTTTTCGTTAAACATAACGAAAAGTATCGGCAATGTAACGACAAATAAAAGTTCACGTTAATAATTTTATATTTTAGAAATATTTCAATACAAAACTCTTGACATTCTCATATTTTTCCGATCTTTGTCGTTAAAATATTCTAAGGTCGTTAAAAAGTTACAGAATTGAAAATTCGTTAATGCAACCGAAATTTATCGTTACTTTACGATATCGGTAGTTAAAATTAAAAAATTACAGAATTGCGGTACAGGTGTATTTTACTTTGTTTAATGAATTAAAGTATAAAACAGCAAAATAAGTTTTTATTTTTGTATTTTTTTCTTTTATTTACTAATGACAAATCTGCCCCACCCCCTTGGCGCATTTACCCCATGGATGGGGCGGTATCGCCGTTTTTGGGCAGTGCGTAAAGTTAAAGAAATATGTACATGAGGATGACTTAGGAAAGATTGAAAGGAATAAAACTAAAGCCAACATATCTAAGTATCCGAACCAAGAAACAAATTAAGAATATGTATTGTGGTTTTAATTTGAGGCCGCCTCAAAAAAAGTGGCTATGGTCCCCCTTCTACCCAATATTAGGGTTATAACTAAATTTTTTTTTAAATTGTATAAAGTTATATGTGTAAATTAACTAGATTTGTGCAGTTAACTGTTTTACTGAAATGTTCTGAATTCTGAAACCAGGTAGGAATCGAGCTCAAATAATGACCATTTTGGGATTAATTCAATCTTTTATATTACTAAATCAATCTTATTATAACCTTTACCTTTGTAACACCAATATCGAAGTGTTTTACCTTTACAACTACCGCGTTGGCTTTATTTTGCGGTGGTACATTTACAACTACTGGGTGAGCTTATAAGACGATTCACCACCGCCCCATCACCATTCATGTACAAGCACTTTGCTCAAGAACTCGACCTATATAATCTCTTGCCATAGTAGACGCGTTGAGGAACGACAGGTATCATGAGACAAGCACAATACATAACCCAACAAGGAAAAAGAAATCACTAGTTTAAAGCCAATAGAAGGGGCGTACCCAACATCAGGCTAAAACACCATATCATTTAAAGACCCACCCCAATGCATTCCTTAACCTCTTAAAGCCGCGCAACCACACTACTGGAATGACTTTTATTTCAGTGGCCGCAAGGACCTATTGCCTTAAATTGATCATGTTTTATAGTAAACTTGAACATACTCAACCATGAAAATCACCAATAAATTAAAGCTCAACTAACCAGATTTCCAGAATTACACTCCATCATTAACCTCATTACAACTCCATCATAAACCTCATCCATCGGATACTTATATCCGATAGTACATCATTCAATACCTAATATTTGCATTATCTGGTCAAATCCTATACTTTATTAATTCACAGCCTACCCTCTGGTTTGTATCGTTTCTAGAAACTGGGAACGTTAACAGAAACGTATCCCGAAAAAATTATAATTTTACCGTATATCAATCTTAAACCCCCTATTTTGAGTTTAAACTACAACTACTGCGGGGATCCCGAAGGAACCTCAATCAACTAACCAGCCAGGACAAATTCCTGCAAGCAACTAGTCGCCCGTAGTACCAGATTATGTGGCAAATCATTCCAAGGAAAGACCTTAGCTCCATTTTATCATCACCCGTTTATAGTCCCTGCAGGTATTGGTAGCCTTTCCGGGATTGCAATATCCCCAAGATGGAGGTTTCATCAACGTAACATGACCACGGGGAAAGTGAGAAGGGTACATATGTGTTTGTTATTCCGTTTGTAATTTCTGACTCTATAAACTATATATATTTAGAGTCCTTATAGATAGGCAAGGGAGCTCGAGGCAGTTAACCTGACAAACGCAAAACTATTCGACGCAACAAAAGGTGAACTAAAAATATGGGTGAGAGAATCCCATAAGGCCTCTTGGAATAATGAAACAATGGGTAGAACCAAGAAGATCCTATGGGGTGACCCTGATGAGAGCAAAACGAAAATCTCCTCAAAATGAGCAAGTCTGAAATTTCGTATTATAAAAAAACGAAATAACAACAAAATACAGCTTAGTATAGTTTATATAAACCAAACGCAAAGTGTGTTTTGTTTGTTAATCCCAATACCAGGGATAGGAACTTTTCGTTTTTCAAAAGGTACTTTTTGAGTTTTCCATAATATTGAATCTAGAGACATTAAATTAAGAATAGAACCCGGAGTAAATGAGAACCTATAAAATGGGATTTTTTTTTCGTTCTTCAACTAGGTACTTGATGAATTTTCAATTATATATATAGAACCCGTAGGAAATGAGAAGCATTTTGGTACTTTTTCATTCTGAAAATGGTACATTTATTGAACATTAACACATAAAATTAAGCATATAAAGCCAGAGTAAATGAAAACCTATTAAAGGGGGCTTTTTGGTACCTTTACGTTCTTCAATTGATAATTTTTCAATCTATATATATAAAAGAGTAGCGTTACTGACTGACTGATTCTGTATCTACTCTTAAAATGAGCAGATGGGTGGTCTGGCCCTTTTTTTAAATTCGTACTTTTAGGGGTAAAATGTGTAACAAAGGTGATTTTGGTACCTTTTTGGTCTTTTATAACTTTTGAACTAATTTACTTAATAAAATTTTTATAAATATTTTGGATACATCTCCCAAAATTATGAGACACCTGTTTCGTACTTTTTTTGAATTCAGTCCTTTTTAGGTGTAAAAGGGAGAAAACTGTATTTATGGTACTTTTTTAGCACATTAAGAAAACGTTTTCGGTTTATTGAATTATTCCTATTAAATTACGGACTAACTCTGTGATATTTATTGTAATAAAATTTTTGTGGTATTTCACTAGCGATAAAAGTATCAAAAAGGAAAAAACGGGAAATTTAATTTTATTCAAATTCATTGATTTTTATAAATTTAAAAAAGTAGTTTATTTACTCACACAAAATAAGCTGTTTGGTATATATTTTGGAATTCGAGTACTAAATGTTATATAGGACCAAATTCGATTAAATTGTTTGGTACTTTTTGAAAGCACTATTTTTCTAGAACAAATGCAGATTTGAATCGTTTGAGTTTTATCTGTTATATATAGATTTAAATACGGAACATTTTGTAAACTTAATTCTCGAAAAAGTAATTTTCTAAGCGAAAAGGTGAAAAATTGTACTCTTTTTATTATTAGTACTTAGGTAAAATTTATTCCACTTTTGGTACTTTTTCTTTCTTCAAATGATACTTTTGTATGTTCTTTAATATGAATTCAAAACACATGATTATTAATAAGATTCTTTAGAGAGAAACTTTTTAGTACTTTTTATCTCATAAATGGTACTTTTTTAATTTTCTAAAATATTCAACCTAGGAACATTAATTTTAAAATACATAGTCTTGATTGAAAAATATTATGTAAGTGGGATCTATTTGTTACTCTTCTGTTCTTCAAATGGTACCTTTTAGATTCTTTATAATGGTTAAGCGGAACACACGGTCCTTATTAAATGAGAATTTATTGAGAGAGATTTTTGTACTTTTTCGTTTTTACGATATTGATATATTGAACATAGATATTGAAAATAAAATTTTAAATGTGTGGACCTTAGTGAATGAAAATCTACTGAAAGGGACTTTTGGTACATTTTCATTCATCAAATTATATTTTTTGAATTGTATTTAATATTGAACACAGAAACATACAATTTTTGATTAAATGATAATCTATTAGAGGTATTTTATAGTACTTTTTTTTACAAATAGTACTTTCGAAATTTTCTATAATGTGGAAGCTAAATGAATGAAACTAAAAATACAAGCTTCTTGCTGAATGTGAATTTAATCACGTGATATTGAACGTATAAAACTGAAACATCAATTTTAATTTTCTATAAAAGTAAACAAAATTTTATATGTATTTAATTTAAGTTAGGGTAGCGAAGCAGCCAGGGTATGCTAGTTTTCTATAATATTAAACTTATAAACATGAAATCAAGCATATAGAGCCTGGAATAAATGGGAACTTCTGTAAGGGGAGTTTATCAAAGAAACATAAAATTAAACATTCAGACTCCTGAGTGAATGAAAATATATAGAAAATCATTTTTAGTACATTTTTGTTCTTCAGCTGGTACTTTTTGAATTTTTATGCAATATTCATCCTAAAAATATATAATCAGAATGATATATCTTGGTGGAATGAAAATTAATATGAGACCAAAAATAAAGTGAGATTTTGGTTTTCTCCCGAGAATTCCCGGAATTAGTCTGTTTTAGTACCTTTATAAATGCACTTAAAAAATTTTATAAAAAAATCTTTACATACTTTTAGGCAGTTATGAAATAATATAAAAATAAATATGAATTATTTGTTTATATTTAAAATAATATGTTGTCTTTCTATCAGTAATATAAATTGTTGTATGTTTTTAGATTATTGGCGAAAAGTACTTAAAATTGTTAATGGTAATCTAATTTGTTTGCTTTCTAAAATCTGTTTTTATTTGAAGTTTTTAAAATGCTTTTTGTTTCAATAACCTTTAGCATGGCACATTTTTTTAAAGAAGAACATTTCAGGGGAAGTATTAGATAAATTGAAATAATTACCTCTAATTTGTTAATTACCTTATCAAATAGAAATTTAATGTATCTAGGGGAATAGTTATTTGTTTGATAAAACGATACTATTGAAGTTGACGTAAGCTATAAATTATTAATGACAAAAACTTAAGTAAAAAGCTTAAGTTGTTACTTTGTATTAGCAATATTTAAGGAATATTTGCTTCCGGCACAGAATGAATAATATGACATAAATAAGAAAATATATTCAGAAATAGTTTGCAGTTTAATTTTTAACCATTTTATTTAACACAAAATCAATTTAAGCCAAAACACCAAAAGGAGCCTTCTTATTCACTGGCACATAGAAATCACCAGCAACCATAAAAGAATTTTTATCAGCACCCATACGTACAGAGCTATAAGTGGCACCACAATCCTTGGCAACAGCATCCTTGTAATTGTTACACTTTACGGTGGCAAAATTATCCTCAGCAACAGCCTCGGCATAGTAAGTAACCGAACGGCCATGGGCACAAGCACCAGCTATATCCAAAGGACAACCAGGTTGTGACTTACCACCATTGGGATAGAAAGCTCCCTTGCCAATGGGTTTCAAGAAACCCAATTCACCACCATTGGTTTGTATCGATTCCACATAGAAGGCATCAGTACTGGCTAAACGTTTTTTGGGTTTGTCATATTTGAATAAAGGAGAAGCAGGATCCAAACCAATGATGGTATGAATTTGTCCGCTCTTAACATTTTTACCAGCATAACCAGCTACATGAGCACCTAAACTGTGACCAATGACGTATAAAGTATCCAATGACATGCCGTGATTTTTCACCAAATAATCAATCATGCTGGCTATCTTTCTGCCCACCTTGGGTACCGCCAACACGGAAGTGGCATAATCCACAGAACGAGCACGAGCCCAATCGACCACAATGATATTGTATTCACCCAAACTTAACCAGGCATTACGTATATTTTTGTTCATACCCGAAAGGCGACTTTGAGTCCAACCATGTATGACAAATCTGGTGGGATGTTCAGGATTAAAGTTGGATGCCTTAATGGATTTTGCGCTAGCAGTAATCTTTTTACCCTTTGTAGGATTGGATTTAGTATACAAATAGTATTTAACAGGGGCGGTGGTCAAACCAAAGTCATCAATTTCTTCCATGGCCTCAAGATAGGATTCGGCTTCTTGCATATCCACCCAATTGAAAGAGCCATCTTCCTGTGGCACATACCAGCCGTTTTCACCATGGATACGACTATCATCCTCATCGAATACAGAAGCGGAAACTAGATATATAAAATTAAATAAATTAATATTTAAAGTGAAAATCCTTTGTATGTATTCCGAGATTCTTACCCGCTAAACAGCCAAGAGCTAACAACCACAACACTTTCATTTTTATGAATATTGATTCTTGGGCTTTGTTGCAATTCTTTTATACTTTATATGCAACTTACTAATCGCGTGGGTTCTTTAATTTTAATAATATTTTTTATCAATTTGTGTTTATCTTTGAGTAGTTTTTTGTTTATTTGATCAGACAATCATATAGAAAATCTCCTTGATTATTTAAATAAAAAAAATTATTGAACAAAGTCTGATCTTTAATAGCCATCGCCGGAAATACGAATATATAGGGGGTAAAATTTAAAGTGTCCTTATCTAGTCGCTTATGTATAACCAGCAAAAACTTGTATTATAAAGAAAATAGATTGGCAAAACTTAAAATAAGTGCTTACATATATGATGACTTTTATGTCAGTTATTATTAGAGTAATTAAAAGTAATGCAGACGGTATGTAAATGTCATTGAAATGCTACGTGGATTTTTCGCAATACGAAATTGTTTCGTAATACATATATGTATATGAAAATGTAGGAAATATTTTATGTTTAATTTTGCAAAATTTAATAAAATTATATAAATTTGTTACGATTTTTTACCCTTCACCTTCGTGAGAAAGGTATGAATGTCGATGTGCTTTACGTGAACACCTGTCGTGTTGGCCTCATTTCACGGTGATAATTTTCAACCACTGGGTGAGCTTTTTTGACGACTCACCAACGCCCCTTTGTACTGGTCCATGTGCAAGCACTCCAGCTATCGAATCTTTTGCTGGTATCATGAGTCAAGCTTAATCAAACCCCTACAAAGCAAAGGGCGGACCCAACATCAGTTGAAAACACCCTATTGATGCTATGAGGAATAAAGTGTCCCTACCGGCTTATTCTCATCATCTAAAGACTCATCCAAGTGCACTCCTTTCAACCACGCTACTGAGATGCCACTGTTGTTTAGGCAACAGCACCTTGGAACGTAATTGTTAGTTCGAAACACAGATCTGTATTAAAGTAGCCAGACTTATTTCAGTGGCCACAAGGACCAACTGTGATAAGTTGAGGATGTTTAGAGTAAACTCCAATATTCTCAACCATGTAGGAAAATCGCCGCTAAATTAAAGATTAAGGCATTAACAACTCCGCCAACGTTTCAACCAACTCCTCTACCACTTCAACCGCCACTCCATCCGTCATTCCGACATCTAAACAGATACAAATCAGAATCCTTCTTATCCATCATCCGATGGTACATCGCACGCACAATCTTTGCATTACCAGCTGCTCCTAGAAACTATGATTTGGGTTTAAACCACACCCACTACGTGGATCCCTAACTGACCAGCCAGTAGAGAGTCCTTGAAACCTATAGTACCTGATTATGTGGTGCCCTGGTTCGAACCCATATCAAATCATTCCAAGGAAAGGCCGAGTATACATTTTATTACCGCCAGTTCCCTCAACAAAGGGGAACCGGTAGCACCTATTTACCTCGGGATTGCAATTCACCAAGATGGGGCCATTCATCAACATGCCCCGGGAGGTCGTGAGAAGGGTAGATATAAGTTTGTCATTCCGTTTGTAATTTTAACAATTTTAAAATCAGTAAAATCCGTTCATTAATAAAGGAGATGTAAGCAAAAATCCGAGACAACCTCTGTTCAAAACCCTAAATTTTGAGTTATAGCAGTCTTGCAGTAAATGTATGTATTCTTCCACAATTTATACAAAAATCTGAATTAATTGATTTAAATGGCAAACGAAAAAAATAGTGATAGGAAAGTGCTTAGTGCGTAAGTGTTTAATTACTTGTTTATTATTATTATTGTTCGACTAGCAATTTTAAAGTCCAATCTTAGTAGATAAAGGAATATTCATGTTATTAATTTTCAGTTATTGTTTTGGTTTGAAATTTGTTTTTATTTTGATAGCTGTCAATGTTTATGACATTCTTTTGAATTGATAGTTGTGCAGTTCATAGCTATCTTAATGAGTTGTGCGTCGTATGATTGTAGAATTTAACAACAGTTAAACAAATTGATATAAAAGTTTGTAGCACATAGGCATTAAGCGAGTTTAATGTCCTCTATTTTTGAACCTGCAGTAATCGTACTTCGATCGTTTGAATAAAACACATTTTAATTAAATAAAAACACCGAGGAAATTTGATATTTAACACCATATTAACTTTATTTCATAAACTTATGACAACATGCCAAAAGGAGACCTTTTGTTCACTGGTACATAGAAGTCACCACCAACCATGAAGGCATTTCTATCAGCACCCATGCGTACAGAGCTAAATATATCACCACAATCTTTGGCAACAGCATCTTCATAATTTTCACAACGCATTGTGCCAAAATTGTCTTCAGCAACAGCTTCGGCATAATATTTACAAGAACGAGCATGAGAACAGGCACCAGTAAGATCCAAAAGACAGCCCGGTTGGGATTCGCCACCATTCGGATAGAAAGCACCACGACCGATAGGTTTCAAGAAACCCAATTTACCACCATTGGTTTGTATAGATTCTACATAGAAAGCATCGGTACTATTTAAACGTTTATCGGGTTCATCGTATTTGAATAGAGGCAAGGCAGGGTCCAAACCTATAATTGCGTGAACTTGACCAGTCTTAACATTCTTGCCACAATAACCAGCCACATGAGCACCCAAACTATGACCGATAACATATAAGGTATCTAAAGACATGCCGTGTTCTCTTACCAAATAATCAACCATGCTGGCCACTTTCTCACCCACCCTAGGTACAGCCAAAACAGAGGTAACATAATCAACCGAACGAGCACGAGCCCAATCGACTATAATAATATTGTATTCACCCACACTCAACCAGGCATCACGTATTTCTCTGTTCATACCCGCCAGTCGACTTTGAGTCCAGCCGTGTATTATAAATCTGGTAGGATGAGAAGAATTAAAGTTGGTGGCATTTATAGACTCGGCATCGGCTTTTATTCTTTCACCCTTGGTAGGGTTAGATTTGGTATACAAATAAAATTTCACTGGATTGGTGGTCAAACCGAAATCTTCTATATTTTCCATAGCCCTGAGATACGATTCAGCTTTTGGCATATCAACCCAATTAAAGGAACCGTCTTCTTGTGGTACATACCAACCATTTTCTCCATGGATGCGATTATCATGCACCTCAAAGGCAGAGGCGTTAACTGAAGTAATGTTAACATTTAAACAAAAATTTTTGAATTAATTAGGATTCTTACAATTCTTACCTGTTAAACAGCCAAAGGCTAAGAACCAATATACTTTCATTTTGCCGAATAATACTAAGTATTGTTGCAATCTCTTTGCAGTCTTTTTATATTTTGAAAATGCAGTTCATTAACCGTGGGGGTTCTATCAGAATATGTTAAACATTATAATCAATTGCGATTATCTTAACTTTATATCGTTTTATGCTAGGGCTATAACCGAGAATTGCTCTAATAATGTAAACGTAAATTTTATGGTAGAGGTAAAATCGTACGATACATTATTATTCAAGGTCAGTTTCATTACTTATCAGATAAATTTTGTTTGAATGTACTTTTGTTAAAAAGTCCAGAAGTTTTCTTGAATTTCAAATCAAATCAAAAATTACCAACCATTTTACAAATATATTTGGAATAAGGTTTGGAAAATTGGATCCAGTTAGTTTTCAGTGAATAGAAATTATATAATGATATTTGATCAATAACTTTTGTTTGCAATATCTTGTGGAGATCGGACTATACTCTCTTATAATGTAATCTTCTGAAATTTATCTACGTATGCATGTATGTGTGTTAAGGTGTAATGTACTACATATGACAATAATAAACAAATATTTTGTTTGAAAAGGGCCTCAGTTCCCTATGAAAAAATTAAAATCTTAATCTCAGACCAATATTGAAAAATTCTGCAATCTATTCGCAATGGGTTTCAAAAATTCCGTAATTTTCAGCTTGTTGCTGGAAAAATAATTAAAATTTTTGTTAGAGTATTTCTGGTGCGCTAAACAACCCACAAAAGTATATACATATATTCTGAGTCCTTATTAAATTCTAAGACGATCTAGCCATGTCCGTTCGTTTGTCTGTTGAAATCACAGGGACCACAGTTGAGGAGCTAGGTAGTTGAAATTTTGCATTTTGCAAATATTCTCTATTGATAAGGTTTGTTTAGTATTGAAAATATGCAATATCGGTCCACGTTTTCGGATAGCCCCTATACAAGTGGACCCCGCGAAAACAGCTTTAACGGGCATAACTGTTTTAAAAATACGATTATACCGATAAAATTCGACATAAGTTTCATATGAGCCCAAATCTCGCTACCAAATTTTATGAGGATCGACCCATAATTGACCCTACCTGAAGATCCCTTTCAGAAAATGACTATAACGGCACAAAATCACGAATATTGTGATGAAATTCGACACAAGTAATTTTCTTGCAAATCAAAATCTCTCTACCAAGTTTTATGTGGGACGAACCATAATTAACCCTAACCCCCATATAAGGTCCACTTCAGAAAATTACTTTAACGCTCATTACTGACTAAAAAATACGAGTAAATGAAATTCGATACCCATAAGTTTTATATGAGTAAAAATCACTCTACCAAATTTAGTGAGGATCGGTCCAGCAAATTACGAGTATAGCGATGAAAATCGACCTAAAAAAGTTTATACTTAGAAACATAATTCTTCATTCTGAATTTAATGAGTATTAATCTATAACTGATCCTATCCCTATATAAGGTTCTCTTCAGGAAACTTATTTAAAAGTACGAGCATAGCGATGAAATTCGACATACACAAGTTCTATACAAATCAAGATCTATGCACAAAATTTTATGGGCCGTTCATTATTGATCCTACCCGGATATAAGGTCCCATTCACAAAATTACTCTTACTGACTGAATCGAAAATACGAGTAGAGCGATGAAATTCGAAACAAATAAGTATTATACGAACTGAAACCTTTGCATAACGACAATCGGTCCATAATTTTCAAAATTTTTATTCACCCTTCTCCGGCGGGACTATATAAACATTTTAATGTCTAAGTACAACATTTCGACGAGAAGATTTCGCCTAATTATGTGAAATTTTTTTTTTTCAATTAATAAAACTAAAACATAGATTTATGTTTAATATACTTTATTTTCAATTCAGATTGCAACAAATACTTAAAATACAACCAAATACAATAAACAGTACAAATTACGTGATAAGCTGGAAAATTTCATAAAGTTATGACAACATGCCAAAAGGAGACTTTTTGTTCACTGGTACATAAAAGTCACCACCAATCATGAAAGCATTCTTATCGGCACCCATGCGTACAGAGCTAAAAATATCACCACAATTTTTAGCAACAGCATCTTCGTAATTTTCACATCTTATTGTGCCAAAATTATCCTCAGCAACAGCTTCGGCATAATATGTACAGGAACGTTGGTGAGAGCAAAGACCAGTAAGATCCAAAAGACAACCTGGTTGAGATTCTCCACCGTTTGGATAAAAAGCACCACGACCAATAGGTTTCAAGAAACCCAATTTACCACCATTGGTTTGTATAGATTCCACATAGAAAGCATCTGTGCTGTTTAAACGTTTGTCAGGCTCGTCGTATTTGAACAAAGGCATGGCAGGATCCAAACCTACAATAACATGAACTTGACCAGTCTCAACATTTTTGCCACAATAACCAGCCACTTGAGCACCCAAACTATGACCGATAACATAAAGAGAATCCAAACTCATGCCGTGTTCTTTCACCAAATAATCTACCATGCTGGCAACTTTTTCGCCCGCCCTAGGTACGGCCAAAACAGAGGTAACATAATCAACCGAACGAGCACGAGCCCAATCGACTACAATAATATTGAATTCGCCCACACTCAACCAGGCATCACGTATTTCCTTGTTCATATCCGTACGGCGACTTTGATTCCAGCCGTGTATTATAAATCTGGTAGGATGAGATGAATTAAAGTTGGAGCCTTTTATTGACTCAGCATCGGCAGTAATACGTTGACTTTTAGTGGGATTCAATTTGGTATATAGATAAAATTTCACTGGATTGGTAGTCAAACCAAAGTTTTCTGTATTTGCCATTATCCTAAGATACGATTCAACTTTATCCATATCCATCCAATTAAAGGAACCATCAGCTTGTGGTATATACCAACCATTTTCACCATTGATGCGAGTATCTTGCTCCTCAAATGCAGAGGCGATAACTAAAGTTCCATTTAATAAAATTTATAAAAAATTCTTGGGACTTGTAAGGATTAGGAGTTTCTTACCTGTTAAACAGCCAAAAGCTAAGAACCAAAATACTTTCATTTTGCCAGATAATAATATTGTTGCAATATTTTTGCATTCTTTTTATATAATTTATTAATGAATATGTTAAACAGTTTTTATCTATTCTGATTATCTTAACTTTATATCGTTTTATGTCGGGGCTATAATTGATAATATCTCTAATAATGTAAATTAAAATGTTTGTTCAAACAAACCGAAATTTTGTCATATATTTTGTGCATTTTACGGTAGAACTAAATCGTACATATGACATCAATTTACGTTGTTCAAGGTCAGTTTAATTAGTTTCTAGATAAATTTCATTTGAATGTGCTTTTATAGGTAGAGTGCAGAATATCGAAAGAGTATATAGTAAATGGGTTTTTTATACTAATGTTTATGACTGTATATTAGAGATTTATTTGTTTTTCTCTTAAATTGAAGAATCCTTTTAACAACTATCAACTATTATAGAAATGTATGATCCAGAGACAAAGTGACAATAAATCGGGGACTTTCGGGGATCAAATGAGGTCCGATCATTACGAATTTAAACTAAGTTTTGTCTATTTTTGAAGAGATACTGGAACATTTAACAAAATTATGAATCCCTATTCACGGGTACGGTTGTATGGAGGCTAGGGGAAATAATGGACTCTAGGGGAAATAATGAATAATGCTTTGCCAAAGCAAAGCAATTACCTTTGAATTGTTCGACCATAACAGTCTTATTCATCCATTACCATTAAATAACTAAAAATAAATATGATAAATTTTAAAAATTTTGCCAACAACAAATATTGTGCTTTACAATATCATTATCGCTTTATCATTACTCCCCCAACATAAAACGATAAATAGAATTAAGATAATCAAAATTGATTAAATATGTTAAAAATTTTCTTAGAACCCCCAGTTAGTGAGTTGGATTCGTCGTTTATAAAAAGCTCACAAAGACATTGCATCGACAGTATTATTCGGCATAATGAAAGTTCTGATATTCTTAGCTTTTGGTTGTTTAACAGGTACATATCGAAAAAAATACTTAAAAAATTTAAACTTAAACTTGTTTCTATTTAAATATTAGTTTACGCCTCTACATTAAAAGAAGCTGACGTACCCCGAGTCCATGGTGAAAATGGTTGGTATGTACCACAAGAAGATGGTTCTTTTAATTGGATTGACATGGACAAAGCCGAATCATATCTCAGCGCTATGAGAAATATTGAAGACTTTGAATTGACTACCACACCTGTAAAATATTATCTATATACCAAATCGAATCCTACTAGTGGTGAAAGAATTAAAGCCGATGCCGAATCTATAAATGGCTCTAAGTTTAATTCCTCACATCCTACCAGGTTTGTCATACACGGTTGGACACAAAGTTGGCTGTCGGGTATGAATAGGGAAATACGTGATGCCTGGTTAAGTGTGGGTGAATACAATATTATTATAGTCGATTGGGCTCGTGCTCGTTTGGTTGATTATGTTACCTCTGTTTTGGCTGTACCCAGGGTGGGCGAGAAAGTGGCCAGCATGGTTGATTATTTGGTAAAAGAACATGGCATGTCTTTAGATACCTTATATGTTATCGGTCATAGTTTGGGTGCTCATGTGGCTGGTTATTGTGGCAAGAATGTTAAAACTGGTCAAGTTCACGCAATTATAGGTTTGGATCCTGCCTTGCCTCTATTCAAATACGATGAACCCGATAAACGTTTAAATAGTACCGATGCTTTCTATGTAGAATCTATACAAACCAATGGTGGTAAATTGGGTTTTTTGAAACCTATCGGTCGTGGTGCTTTCTATCCTAATGGTGGCGAATCTCAACCCGGCTGTCTTTTGGATCTTACTGGTGCCTGTTCTCATGCTCGTTCCTGTAAATATTATGCCGAAGCTGTTGCTGAAGATAACTTTGGCACAATGCTTTGTGAAAATTATGAAGATGCTGTTGCCAAAAATTGTGGTGATAGTTTTAGTTCTGTACGCATGGGTGCTGATAGAAATGCTTTCATGGTTGGTGGTGACTTCTATGTACCAGTGAACAAAAAGGCTCCTTTTGGTATGTTGTCTTAAGTTGAGGAAATAAATGAAATTGCTTGTTTAAATTAAAATTGGGTTTTGTATATTTTGCTCTGTTACTTGGCCGGTTGAAATAATCTGGAAATAATTAGGTTGGCAACCATTATCGCTAAGCTGTCGTTACCGTGCTTAAATACCTTTTTAGTACTACTACCGCTACAGCTAAAATACCGATACCGATATAAGTCGAAATACCGATAACGCTAAATTATCGTTACCGTTATTCTAGAAACATATATCCAAAAAGGGAATAAATCTTCACTTAATTAATACATATTGTTAACATCACTACAGCATATAGTTCAGGATAGACTATACTCTAGTATATAGTCAATAATATAGGTTAGACAATTGACTATAATATAGACAGACTAGAAAAAAGAGTATAATATCTCGTTATTCTTTATCATATGTAGATCGAACTTAGCAAGTCATAAAAAATTAGTCACAAAAGTACATGGGCCAAAATAGAAAGAGATTCTGCAACATAGTCAGAGCCAAAGTATGGCGTACATAGATCCATAATTATAAATGAAATATAACATGGTCGACTTTTCTATCAAGCAAACCAATTCAGAAAATGACTAACTCTTGTTAAAAAAGCCAGTCTAACGATGAAGTTTTACATTATCATGTTTCATTAACCAAAATCTGAAAAATACTTTAAAAAGCCAGTTGATATGCCATGTTGAAATTCGAGGATCTGTCCTCCATATAAATCTTTTACAGAAAATCAGTTTTTAGCTAATAATTCATTCCAAAAGTTTGCAATTAGAATTATAGTAGAATTAAAAAAATAATCACTTCTTTTAAATTTTGGAGATCTTGGTCTATAATTGACCCAATTCAATATCTTTTAACCGAAGTATAACAAAATACCGATAACGCTAAAATACCAATACCGAAATAAGTCAAAATACGGCTAACGCCAAAATATCGTTACCAAATTAAGCCAAAATAATAAAATATTAGAAGATTTTTGAAGAAATATTGATTTGTACTTATTTAGAGGGGTAGGGTCAATTATGGGTCGATCCTCATAAAATTTGGTAGACAGAATTTGGTTCGTATTAAATTTATTTGTGTCGAATTTCATCGCTACACTCGTATTTTTAAGCCATTAATGAGCGTTGCAGTCATTTTCTGAAGGGGACCTTATATGGGGGGTAGGGTCAATTATGGACCGATCAACATAAGATTTTTTAGATAGATTTTGACTCGTATGAAACTTACTTATGTTGAATTTCATCTATATACTAGTATTTTTAAGCCAGTAATGAGCGTTAAAGTTATTTTCTGAAGGGGAACTTTATGGACCGATCCTCATAGCATAGTGATTTTGGATCACAAGAAACTTACTTATGTCGAATTTCATCGCTATATTCGTACTTTTAAACAAGTTATGGCTGTTAAAGATGCTTTTCGAGGGGCCACTTGTATGGAGGCTATCCGAAAACGTGGACCGATATTGCCCATTTTCAATACCAAACAAACCTTACCTATAAGAAATATTTATGTGAAATTTCAACTCTCTAGCTCTTTCCATTCGGACTCTATCGTGCTTTCAACAGACAGGCGGTCGGACTGACAGACATGGCTAGATCGTCTTACAATTTAACGAGGACCCAGAATATATATACTTTTGTGAGTCTATGACCAATATTTCGATGTATTACAAACGGAATGACAAAATCAATATACCCCCATCTTTTTTGATGGTGGGTATAATAAGTAGTTATTCACCCAAAAAGAAAGTATACACTTTGCTCCAATATTACTTGCTTAGTTACCGGGTAAGTAAAGTTTTTGCTGAGAACCTTTATTTGAGCAAAAAAAAAAATGCATCAAAAACGTCCATTTTGAAAAAAAGTAGTGGAAAAATAAGTGCCAAATATTGAAAAAATCTTATTCTAAGGTTAAAAAATATTTTTTTTTATTAGATATCCCACTCGTATCCCATTAGGGTACTATAAGGCGCTTAAAGTAAATTGTCTAAGTTTTCGTTTGAGCAAAAAAAAGTATTTTTTTGAAAAAAATTTAAAAAAAAATTATAGTTTTTTTTTTAAATTTTGAAAAATTATTTTTTTTGGAAACATTGAAAAAATAGCTCCTTTGGACAATTTTTGCTAGGACCAATAGGTGAAAAATATGACCAAAATGTTAAACTTTAATCATCTTAGTCTAGCAGTTCTGGACCGGTAGCGCTGAAAATTTGTGTCTGGCCTACTATCTAATAGTACTAACTTTGGTGCAAATTTCTTCAAAATCGATTTTTTGAGTTGGGTCACTTGATATGAAATTGTCCTTATATTTAATGCGCAATAAAAACCTTTTTAGAACATATTTTTGGTTTCCCTGTCTATGACAAAGTTTTCAATTAATAGCTGGGCAATTCACAGCTACAGTATGAGTTGTATTTCGACTGATTATAAAATAATACGACATACAACAGTTATATTAATTGATATGAACATTTGTTTCAAATACCTATAAACTAAGTTTTATGTCTTTATTTCGGATCTTACAGTAATCGTTCTTCGACTAAATAAATGAAACATAGATTTATGACAACACGCCAAAAGGAGGTTTTTATGCACTGGTACATAGAAGTCACCACCAATCATAAAGGCATTCACACATCTCATTGTGCTAAAATTGCTTTCAGCAATGTCTTCGGCATAACATTACAGGAACGTGCATGAGAACAGGCACCAGTAAGATCCAAATGACAACGCGGTTGAGATTCGCCACCATTGGGATAAAAAGTATTCCGACCAATAGATTTCAAGAAACCCAATTTTCCACCATTAGTTTATATGGATTTCACATAGTAAGAATCGATACTATTTAAACGTTTGTTGGGTTCATCGTATTGGAATAAAGGCAAGGCATGATTA